CGTAATTCGTTCTAGTCGTTTTGAATTACGCGGAACCAGTTTAGTTGCGCAACAATGAGATTAAATTATCATTTAAAAAATGTAACCGTGGAGTATTACAAAGGTACAACGTAAAAAAGATACTGTAGACCTAATTGTGTGGGGAAAAATAGCTAATAAAGTACGGGACACCGTTTGGTTCTGTAACGCTAGGAGTTTTATATCGACTATTACATAAAGCACTTATTTGAATAATAGAAACTTTTTCTTTACGCCACTTGTCGTTAGCTACGCCACGAACACTTTAGTCTGCAATTTTTGTTTCTGCGATTTAAGCTAAATTTAACCTTTCAAGTCACTTCCTAAGAGTGGATGACTACTGAATCACAGTTTGTTGCGCAAAAAATGCCCTACTTTTTATACTATATTTTTTTTATTGGCTACGTAGCTACAGTGGGTGTTTAACCGTTTGTGGAAATAGCTTCTTTGCTCGCTGCGATATCTTACCAAACAAACTTTCTGATGCCCCCAAGTTCGTATATTTAAAAAAAAAATCGTTCACTGTTTATTTTTTGTTTGCTCCAAATGTGATTGTCTTTATCATTGTGTTTTTCTACTGTGAAAAAAAATTCTATCAATGCCATAGTTAGTAAACACGGACTTCACCTCTGCCTCTCCTTACGCGTGCGTTCATAAATATTCTTGCGGACAATCCTATGTGCCATAGAAACTTTTTTTTTTCCTCAGGGAGATGTGAGAGTTGGGTTTCGTTTATCGGAGGAGCGTCAATTATCCACTGCTAGCTTAATCGTACGAGAAAAACTAAGGATGGACAACTGCAAAAACGATGCCTTTTGCGCATCTCTAAAGCGTTTAGCATATTTCGTTGCCTCTCCATTGTGTATCGGGGAACAAATTAAGCGCCCCCTGGTGGATCCGTAGTGCCTTGCACAAACCTAAGTATCCTCCAAGCCAAACCTGGCCAGCAAACTCCCTGGACCGGATTGTTTTTCACCCAACATCCTCAAAATACTGGAGCCTATTGTACAGATCTCTAGACGTATAGGTACACAGGTTAGCACATCTTTGGCTCAATGCTTGGCTCGGTTTTACTGTATGTGAATGATATTCTTTTCTTTTTATTTTGAATTAAGCTGAACTCGTCTCTTCTTGGAAATGCTACGGCTTGTTTTGTGCGCTTGACAAACTGCCCAACGTCGTACGATAGATTCACCAAACAACAACTTTGGCAGCTCCCAGTGTAAATCTAAATTAAGAGACTATAATTTTGATAATTACATTTTCACATCAACCCAAATGCGGTTTTCTACAGCAAGCTAGAAGAGCGAAACAGGTCGAGCGCAAGGCATTGTATGTATTTTATTGTTTTTAAAAGGAAAAAAGTATTACACGTAGAGATATTACGTTCTATTTTTTTAGTCAAAATAGGGAGGGCGAATTCAATAACTTTTTTGACTGACTGTAAACTTTTACTATTCATGTACATTACGGAATTAACCTTATCAATGTATATAGCTTTCTTTTCAATGAAAGTGTGATGTCTTTTGTTCATGGCATTACACTGTGATTCAGAGATATAAACGACATCGATTTTACTCTCCAAGCTGATCGGATGACCATCCCGTTCAGGGTTTGGCCTCCAATGTTCTTCTTTGTACGACGTTGCATTGTTGTTTAATTCTTTTATTTCATGTACAACTACTTGTTTGCCATCCGAGAAATGATTGCATATCCTTTGTCAGCATTTTGTATTTGTAAATTGTTACCCTTTTCCTTGTACTATACGGAAAATTCCTCTACATGGCGATTCATAAAGGTGAGGTGACCGTTTGAATAAACAATTGTTTTTCAATGTGAAAAACTGGAAAAGACCACTGCAGACTTTATTATAAGCTACAATCGTGCACAAATCAACGTATGATTGATATCTGAAACGATTGACAACTTACACAGATAACAGTGAGCAAATCCGGAATGAAATGAATTGGCCCCAGTTACATCAGCAAGTCAAGTTTTGTTAATATTGAATCTGTTAAATGTTTATTTCTTATGTAAATGTGACATCTTTTGGGGCTTATATATAACAGACGGATAGTTTTTCAAATGGCTTGTTTAAACATTAAATGATCAGAAAGTGATGTGTATTTTGTTTCTTCTGTTGTCCTGTAAAAAATGTTCATCATTTTGTTTGTTTCATTTATCCCCGCTGTTCCTCGTTTCCTTTTGTTTGTTTTCTGTGTGCACATAGACGATCCCCACAGCTGTTTTGATTTCCCAGTCCTGTCATTCATCTGTATTGTAGTTTCACCTGTAAATGTTATTTAATCATCAACACACACTTTCCCCACAAAACTTTCCCTTCGCTGGTTGAAATTGTGCCATTTACGTTGCGGTACGCGAGCGTATGGAAAACCACCGTCACTTATTCAAACAAAACAATTAATTCGTCTGACCAGGATCAAACTGTGCCATGATTAACTAGTACGGATCGACAGTTTTAGTTTTTCCAGGAGAGCCAAGCAGTGACGTGTACAGTAAATGTTGGAATGAAATGAAAATGAATCTTGCTGTGTGTAAATTATTCAACAATTAACTGTTTATATGAAATTTATGAATTAAAAATTATTGGGAAAAATGGCTCTCAGTTGTGTCTGTTGTTCCCAAGATGATGATCAGTGTTATTATTACAGTAGCCTACATGTTAAATTGAATTCACTTTCATTAAATGGAAAAGCAACCAAGATCAAAATTTCTCCTTTTATGTTCCACAGAAGACAGAAAATCATACAGGTTTGGAACGACATGAGGGTGAGTAAATTATTTTAACTCTTTAGTGCTACTTGCGTGGCCGTCAAAAATATTTTTTGTCATTTTTTTTTTTTACTTCATGAAATGAATGTACTATATTTTGGGTTTTATTTAAAGCTGCAGTCCGTAGTTTTTCCTATTTGTCGCCATCTCTGTTCGAAATCTGCAATTGCAGTTATTCGCAGAATTATCAACTTTACGTGGGTTGTGCCTCGGCAATGCACAGCGCGGATGAATCCAATGTTTTGAGGAGAGTGTGCGGCAGTCACCAAAAGATTATACTTTTTGAAAGTATGACCAACATAATCATTTTCATACTAAATAGCCTGTATGCACGATCGCTACAGCCGGTGCTGCGTCAGTCTATGGTCAGAAGCCGGTTTTGCGTTAGGTGGAGATAGTGTCGAATTACACTTGCGGTTACCGTGAATAATGTTAACAACACTGTGAGGCAGTCACACAAGAGTATAAAAGAGAAGTTATTTAAATTATATATTTCGAGCTACATCAACAACTTTGAGGGTTAGTTTTCTCTCATATCGTACGAAATTAGACTAGCGAATCAGCGTTTCTAAAATCGTTGTCTCCGTTTCTGAGAAGACGGATTTTATTAAAGTTTTGCCGCTATACACTTGGCCTGCAGAACGCGCTTCCGGAAGTAAAGAAGCTGACTGAGATTCTTTCGGAGACACACACGTCAGCAGGGTTCGTGCATAGAGCCTATTATAATCTGAACAATAATCGCAGCAAATCGCGCTGATTAAATCTAACAATCGCTTATCATATCACATAAAACCATGCAAATTATACTTTGTTCTAAAAGGGTTTGCAGGATATATAAGGCTATCATGATCATTTTGCCAACAATGAACCATGGATTTGTTTAGTTTATAATGCGTTTTAGTTTTAATTTCAACAAATACAACTTATAACATTCAAAACTCATCGGCTTACACTGCTTTAAAGAAAAATGAACAGTTCATTTTTATACGAAGTGTAGCCTTGTGTGAAATTATTCAATAGATTTTAGACTTCTATATTTCAAGTGCAAGTATTTTTAGTATTTTTTTCTTATCATAGTTTACAAATGTCTTCGGAAACTCCTTTTCCTCGATTTACTGAAGCCTATGCACTCTCAGAAAAAAAGGTGCAAAAGTTGTCACTGGGGCTGTACCTTTTCAAAGGGTAAACTTTTGTCCATTTCATGAGCTAATAAGTACATTTTCGGTGTTAATATGTACATTTTAGGACCTAATATGTACATTTTAAGTGTTAATATGAACATTTTAAGTGTTAATATGTACATTTAAGTGTTAATATGTACATTTTAGGTGCTAATATGTACATTTTAGGTGGTAATATGTCCATTTCAGGAGCTAATGTGTAAATTTCATGAGCTAATATGTCCATTTTAGGTGGTAATATGTACATTTGAGGTACTAATATGTGCATTTTAAGTGTTAATATGAACATTTTAAGTGTTAATATGTACATTTTAAGTGTTAATATGTACATTTTAGGTGCTAATATGTCAATTTCATGAGCTAACATGTCCTTTTTAGGTGGTAATATGTCCATTTTAGGTGCTAATACGTACCACTAAGGTACCAATATGCAGCCTTTGGGTACAAAAGTGTACCTTTTGAAAAGGTACAGCCCCAGTGACAGCTTTTGTACCTTTTTTTCTGAGAGTGTCAACACGGTGTCCAAAGTTGAAGAAGATTTTGTCGTTTTATTCGTTTTTCTATAGTTTTCAAACACCCATATAGTGTGGTACTGAATGGTTGCCATATACCATATTTACACAATGCTAGATTAAAAACCATAAAAAGATGCTCAGTGCTGTTATTATTTGAAAAAAAAAAAAAAAAAACTCTCCATATTGGTTCGTCAAAAGAGATGTACTGCAATTATACAGCCGGAAAGTCAGTAGTCAGTAAAGTGTGAAGAGTGGCAAGTTTGAGCAAAACAAACTCTTTAAAAGGGGTTAGTTCACCACGTTAACCACCGGTGCCTGAGTTCCGCTTATCTTTTCTAAACCCTGCACTCATTTGTGTGAGAATGCTGCAACTATCACATCATCACATGCACATGCAAAGTACATTGGTTTTCCTACTGTTTGAATTCTAATGTCCCGCATCAACACATTTTGATGGTATCACGTCCAAACAGAAGGGCCCCGTATGGGTGCTCATGTAAAGGCCATGTGCCTGTGCTAGATGTCTGTGTGAAGAGGAAGTTGTAGCAATGTTGTGTGTTTAAGGCTGTGGTTAACACAGCCTCTCTGCTCTTTTCAGACGTTTCAGCTGGCACAAAGTCGGTTGTGTGAGTCTCAGAGGAGGACGTTTTGCTAGTTGAGGATTGCTGTTTATCTCTTTAAATTGGGGTGAGTACATAAGAACATTAAGTTTTTAGTTTATGCACAAGAAGTGCTCATTTTAAACTGAATCTGTGCCTGGTAATTCATTATCTTAATCGGTTCCAGATAAGCTGAGATGCTATCATAGAACCTTTAGCTAATGCGTTTAACCGTGAGTTTTGAGTGTAGTTTGGACATTTTGACCTACAAGAACCCGACGTTATCTCAACTTGATGGATTTCACTGGTGCTTTCTGCCATTATTGCTCCATCGGTTTCATTTAAGGAACTGTCTAAGCAGAAATGCTGTTGTATAGTGCAGATCAGTGTGGTGCAACTGCATGACAAAGTGTAGAAAAATCATACCAGACGTTGGTTGAAATGAAAGGCCATTTTTCAGAAGCATCACGCTCTTTGGTGCATCACGGATTGTGTTTTTAACTTTCAGTCTTGTACACCAGCTCACACACATCATTTCCTTCCATTTTGCAAAATGGTATTACTGTGATCATATACAGTACTTTGACATTTATTTTTATACCATGATTTTTATACGGTACTCCACCTCAAAGAATACCAGGGTAGCATAGTACTTTTGGTATTTGTATTTCTTTTTATTTATTTGTATATTGTTGATAGAAATACAATGATGTATGAATATACCATTTACACAATACTGCGGTACAGTATACATTAGCCCCAAACGTTATGGGCATTTAGGCCACACAATGAACATTTTTGACATTTTACTGGCATAATCTGGGATATTTCGGTTTAAAACAAGGTTATCTAATCGAAGAAAGTATATTGGGAAAGACTTCATCCACCAGGAATTGATTGGATGCTGAAAAGTATTTCTATGTGGCAGGATATTGAAGGGGAGGAGTCTAAAAAGAACTGGCCTTGATGATGTCAGCAGAAAAGATGAATGTTTGCAAAACAAAACAAAAAATATGAAATAAGCAGGACTTTTAAAAAAAATTTGCTGATAATTAACTCCAAGATGTCCATGTCGTTCTTGATGAAAGCATTCCAGGATTTTTCTCCATATAATGGACTTCAATGGGAACCAAACGGTTCAAAGTCCAAAAGACAGTTTCAGTGCAAACTGTTCAAAGGGCTTTAAACGATTGCATACGATGAATAAGGATCTTATCAAGCGAATCTATCGCTCATTTAATAAATAAATAAGAGAATTTAAGTTTTATAAGCTCAAATGCTCGCTTTGCTCTGTTCTGTGATGCTCATTCGTGACTCTCGTTCGAACTCGTTCATCAAAATAAACAAATCTTTTTCCAAGTCAACTCGTTCATTTCGTTCGTTGAATGAGCCAAATGACACGAAAAAAGATTTGTTTTTTGCGCAGAGTCGCGAACGTTCATCACAGAACAGAGTAAGGCGACCATTTGAGCTTATAAAACTTAAATTCTCTTATTTATTTATTAAGTGAGCGATAGTTTCACTTGATAATACCCGTATTCATCGTATGGAATCGTTTAAATCCCTTTGAACAGTTTGCAGTTTGCACTGAAACTGTTTTTTGGACCTTGAACCGTTTGGTTCCCATTGAAGTCCATTATATGGAGAAAAATCCTGGAATGTTTTCATCAAAAACCTTAATTTCTTTTTGACTGAAGAAAGAATGACATGGACATCTTGGATGACATGGGGGCGAGTAAATTATCAGCAAAAGTTTTTTTTTTAAAGTGAACCATGGTACCATTTTTTTACCGTTAAAATGAATTCCCTCCTGTTCATATCCAGTGGTGCTTCCTTTCTCTCTTTCATCCCTCCCACTCTCTCGCTGTGAGCCCCCGCTGCCGTGCCTCTTGACTTTAAATCATATGTTAGTTAATCCCCGGCGGTTCTCTCCTCTGATCCTGCTGTGGGACTCTAGTTTTCCTGATATCTCGCTCACTAACTCCTCGGGGAGAGACCCGCACCATCCACATGGCAGATCCACCTCTCCACAACTCCTGGCCCTCTTTCTCATGGATGAAACGATGGTCCTTCAAAAGAGGTAGAGAGGATGATTGTGTCTTTCTGGACCTTTGGCATCTTTCTTTTCCACTCTTTCTTTGCTAAATCTGACCAAACAACATGGTAGTACCTACATATGTAAATATATAAAGTAACTATGGTATATTGTTTTGTGTTGGCTTTTTGAAGTAAACAAAATCAGTCATGTGTCTCTAGAGTTTTGCAGTGGTGTGGTCGTCGTTTCATCCTTAAACTATAAATAGTTGAAAGTTGCTGTGTTTGTTTGTGGTTGAGGACGTCACTGATGTGATGGTACATGAGTTTGTGGTCTGTCAGACCACTGCTGCTCAAGAGGACGGGTCACACTGCACACTTGCATGCAGCTCTCATCAACTGACTGTGTGTTAGCACCGACAAAACCACATTTCACACTCCTGACAGTTGCGTCGGATTGTGTCATTACAGTTAATTGAGCTATAAATGGAAGTCAGTGGACTCCAAAACCATTCAAATATAACACAAGTCAAGTGTATAGTGCATAATACTCCGAGCCATGAGTTCATCAAGTGATCTAAGTTTAAATTCTGACACAAATACAAGAGAAAATGACAAAAACATGCTTTTAGCTGTTAGCCATTAGCACATCCGCTCCAAAACATTGAGCTTCTCTATCTATTTGTCTGTCTGTCTAGATAGTTAGACAGTCGGACAGACTCAAAAAACAGAAGTAGTTCTAACAGAAGTTCAAATTAGTTTACTCAAGTTGCTTTTGATGGAGAGCATCTGTTAATGAAGCTCAAAATAAAGCTGCATTGCTTTACAGCTTTGGGGTTGTCCCCGTAATCCTCTTGGAAAAGCTCAAGACTCGCATAACATAATTCTGCAAATTGCTAATGGCAAACATTTAGCTTCCTCCACGGATTTGGCTACTCTAGTGAGCTATTTACAGCCTGTTGGATTTTATTTAGACCAAAATACAATTTTGCATGTTAGGGTGTGGACAGACATTCATGTGTGTCAAAAACAGAAGTTTTCTGCGGTAGACCTACAGTAACCCTTGTCAAATCTGGGAGGCCCCTTTAAGTATTCATGTTGGAGCATATGGTAAGAAGGGGGCAGCCATAAAAGGATATTTGAACATGATAAGCATCATGGTGCTCTTATAGTTTACATATCACATGTCCGACTCAGATACAAACCACCTCACCGCACTCAGACTCTGTCATTCGTCTAGGGCCGAGATGATTTACGGCAGAAAGGATTGCAGGCTTCATTCATCCATCGTTTAAGGACATGCAGTCGTTGAAGGAGAAAGGTTCTGGTTTGGACTTTGGTGTCTGGGTTTTGTCATAGTCCATATCATTGTCGTTATCAAATCAAGAGATATTCTGATATGTGGAAAGGTCACTTCGGTAATTCCCCAAGTTCTGATGACCCTTAATTTAACTCCAAGGTAAGTTCTTAAGAGTTGAGGGAAATCTTTGCAAATCTCAAAAGATGATGAACGTTGTGTTTATATTCAAAAATACAGGTTCTTTGGGGTTCTACAGTTGGTTATTTGGCTATTTTGGAGAGTAAGCAAGTTCATTTTCAAATTCAAATGTTCCTCAGGTCAGCGAATTGGTTCCATTGGTTCCATTGTTCCATTGGTTCTTTGGAAGCAGAAGTATTTAGATGACTTCTTGAAGAACCATAGGTTCTCCAATGACATCAGGCTCTCAGCTATCATGTACCTGCTATCAAACACAACACAGAGTTTTGCCTCTGTAAACTAGTGCTTCCATTTCACATCAGATTAAGATCTTCTGTTTACAGTGAAATGCTTCCAGGTTCTACTAACTCCGGCTGAGTGTTGTTGATGTTATACGCTGGACTTAATGGAAGTCGCTGATAAATTCTGACAGTAGCTGCTTGAAGTTAGAAGGTTATATTTAGGGTATGCCGTCATACTGGCTATCCAGAACCATATCTATATTATTGCTTTGTCACAATCCTCAATCCAAATAAACAAGAGATATGATGTAATTAGATAACCAGAATGTCACACCACTCCTAATTTGTTTTGTCTGGTCCAGAGAAAGTGAAAAAAGGCACTGCCTTAAAAGCAGCACAAGAACAAGAGTTCTCACAGTTACCGGATTATATTCCTATAGCAAAATTCATGATGGAACTGTTTGTGTTTCAGCGTCAGACTGCAAACCATGCACTCAAATTCGTGCCCCGGTCTCAGCACCCAGTTCCTCTTCTTCCTTGTCCCCGGCTTCCATCCCAGAAGATGTCTTCTTCAGCAGTTCTCCTGAGGACAAGGTAAGACCCTAAACACAACCTAACCATTAAACTGGGGGAAATGGTTGATTGATGAGAACGATGCATCAGCCCCTAACTCAGTCTTAGGCTCTGTTTACACGAGAACGCTCGCGGGTGAAAACGTAAAAATATTTTATCGGATGTGCCTTTCGTTTACATGCGGATTTCCCACACAAAACGCTCGTCTAAACACAGAATAAAAAGTGATGACGCAACGCCACTTTTGCGTTTTCTCTTCAGAATCGTTTCCGTGTAAACATAGCAGACATCCCAAGTCTCCCGGAAGTTCCGGGAGTCTCCCGCATATTGATAGCGTCTCCCTGATGCCCGCAAATTAGTTAAAATCTCCCGGAATCTAGAGCGAGACATACTGCGCGCATAACATACATAGTGCGCTGCGCGTGCACTGTACAGAGGGAGAGACCGAGTGTGCCTCGCGAACGCGAAAGTTAGAGGGAGAGACCGAGTGTGCCTCGCGAACGCGAAAGTTAGCCCTCCCACCCACGATCCTGTTACCGAAATATACCTCCCGGAAATGAATTCTTGCAGGTTGGGATGTCTGACATAGCCTTAAACTTAACCACATCATTAGCCCTAAATCCTCAAACTGATTGGTTGCCAAGAATGTTGTTCCAGGATCATCAAAGATGTTGACCCAGCAAAATCAGTTTCACCAAAAATAGTCTATATCAGGGTTCACCAATCTCTGTCCTGGAGGACCACTGTCCCTGCAGAGTTTAGCTCCAACACTGATCAAACACACCTACCTGTGACTTTCTACTGATCCTGAAGACCTTGATTAGTTTGCTCAGGTGTGTTTGATCAGGGTTGGAGCTAAACTCTGCTGGGACTGGACCGAGATTGGGGAACCCTGGTCGATGTGATTTGTGTTCTACGTATAAAACTTCTGAATAGATTTCTGAGAGGAACAGACTGAAACTGAAGTTGAGTAGTGTAGATCAATGCTTGGTTCCTCCATGGGGAGTGTCCTTGGATAAATGTGTCCTTGGGTAAATGTGGCTGGCTATAGTTGACTGTGCTTTTTTCATCACACAAGAAGTCCAGCTGACTGCTTCCACTTTCAGTCGATGAATGACACTAGCAGGAGACTCACTTTGACTTGACATTGTTGGGGTTTCCCGTTTTCAGAGGAACTTCTTGGCTGAAAGCGACGAGTGCAGCAGTGAGGAGGACCTTTTAGAGCTCTGCTCTTCTCTCAGAGATTCTGAATATTACAGAGACTTGCAGCTCGGATCCACTGATGAACCAGACGTGCGACTTCCTGTCTTAACTGCACCTGTTTCTGACAAGGGTCTTACCCCTTTGGTACTGCCTGTGTTCACAACAGAGAGTGGATCAAGGCAGGATTTCACAGAGTTCCACACCCATAAACTTCTCCAGATAGACAACTCTCTGAATTTTGCTGGAAGGGAAGGAATGGATCGCTTGGTAGCTATTAGATCTTCAGAGTCCCAGAATTGTCCGGAATCCGAGCAAGATGAGGACCCGGACACCGATAACTTTCCCACATTGGTTAGATCTATGTCCACGTCACGTAGACACAGCTGGGAAGTGCCAGTATCGCCAATTGACCTGGGCAGAAGGTAAGAGACTTTTTCACTGGTCCCAGTGTCTTAATGTCATTTCCAGAACCAAATGCTATGTTATTTCCTGCAAATGTCCGAGAAGTACATGTCTTTTGTTTGCTAAGTTACATATGGCGCTTTTCCATTACCAGTACCAGCTTGACTCGACTTGGCTCGGCTCTGCTCGCTTTTCGCTCCATTTTCCATTGCAGACAGTACCGCCACAAATAGTACCCGGTCGTCATAGCGACACCTTTCGTTCCTCGTTGCCCCATAAAGCTCTCGCTGGATCCTCTCTTCCACAACCAAACGAAGGAAAGTCTGCACCTCCTTGTTTGACAACAGCATATTCTTCACAGTTGCCATAATAATTGTAGTAAGTTTAGTAACTATCTCTTGCCAAACTATTTAAAAATGGCGGGGATATTCTGGATACTCCAACTGGCACGTGCAATGATGATGCAGTGAATGGTGACGATTCTCTCGGACCAATCAGTCGGCATTGTTTTCACATCACATTTTAGTACCGGCTTAGCTCGCCTTAGCTTGCTCAGAACCTTGCCGGAGGTGATACAAAAAAAGCACCCGAAAGCAAGTACAGGTACAACTTTTACACAGTGGAAAACCAAACAAAGCCGAGCCGAGTCGAGTCGAGCTGGTACTGTGTAATGTAAACGCGCCAATAGTGACACTGTTGTATACATGTATGAAAACACTGTTTTATTTATGTAGATTCAGTCTAGACACCACAGACATTGACAGTGATGGAGAAAGAGTGGACCAGTGTTTGGACAAAAGTTTCCATTTACCATCTTCCTCCTTCTCCGAAAGCTCAGTGGAAGAAACGACCGGTGCTGTGGAAAGTGAAAGCCCCCAAATAACAGTAACTGTCCCTACTGAAATCTATGTCTTAGTATGAACAGAGCAAGACATTCACATAACTCTATAAACTGCACTCCTGCTCCTAGAGGGCTACCATTCTGCAGACTTTAACATCAACCCTAATCAAACGCACCTGAACTACTCTACAACCCCTGAATAACAGGGGTTGGATCAGGCTTGAAACTGAACTCTCCAGGAAGGCAGTCCTCCAGAAGCTGGGTTGGCTACTCCTGCTATAACTCTTATTGATAATGTTTTCCCACTGTTTGTTTTTGACCATGATTGCAGCCGCCCTCACCAGCAAGGACAGTGTATTCCCGATCTGAAATTCTCGCGACTGATGAAAAAGTACAAGCTGACAGAGTCTCCCGCATCCTGGAGACTTCTAAGCAGGCAGCAAGAGAGGCCAGAGGTTAGTAAAATGATTCTCCAATTAGGCAGACAAATCCAGTCTGAATGAATCAGGTTCTCATGGGCTCTAGCTTTGAAGCAATCAGATAAATGCAATGCTAATTCTGCCAGGGGGAAACAGAATTATTTACCATTTTACCATCGTCCACAAATACCTTCTTTATTCTGTAGTTCTACAGATCAAGTTATGGTGCTTTCAAGAATCGAAATACTGAAACACTAATTTGAAGAACCTGTAATGTAACAGATCTTTACCATATAGAAACTCAAGAGCCCCATGTTGACTATGTTTACATGCGGCCAATTTCTAGGTTATGGTCGGGTTAAGGTCACTATTTGGGTTTCTGAAACATTAGGAATGACCCGTTTATATGCGTGAGTAGAGAGAGTTTCTCCTGTATGCATGGAATTGCAATATCCCGATGTAAACGGCGATGCGCGGTTAGCGTATAGACGTACGGGCAACCTTAAGACGCAATATGCGTCATTTCCGATTCTTCTTCCTGTATCCAAATACAACAACAACAGCACGCGGATAATGAATAGTTCGGGGCAGATAGCGATCGCCTTTGTTTGCGCTTTGATGCTGGTAATGTTTCTGACCTCGCTCCAAACGTATGCTGTGCTGTGTCTCGCCTGGTCTCGCCATGTTTACTTCCAGTATCCACAAGTTTCCTACGCCCCATGAGGCCTTGCGTCAAAAGTGGGCGCGACTTCCGGTTCGAAGTAAACAAAGCGCGATTTGACATGCTTGACACTCGTTCATTCAACAGTTGACAATCATTCAAGTTATAGCGATCCAAACTAGCTAACGATGTGGGAACACAACCTCAACAAAATTCAAAAGGGTGAAATAACAGTACCTTTACCGTCCGCAGTAGTTGATTGGGAGTATTATAAAAACATTGTTAATAATCAATACTCATCAAGGCATGGTGACAGACAGTTGTGCGAGCTGACAAACAATTAAAATAAAAAAATACACACTTAGTCATTGTGCTTTGGAGTTTATTCAAAATTATAAATGTATGTGCTACTTGAATACATTAACTGGCACATTTGGTATTCTGTCAACACAGGCTTGATCCTGAGTTTAGGTGTAACATCAGTAGCGAACAGCCAATCACATGCTGATAGAGTTTATAAAATATTATGAATTTAAACAAATGTACACAGGAAGATTCGTCGTCTTTTGGGAGGTGATGGAAACTACAGTCGTTGGCAGGATCAGAGACGGGCTCTGGCAGGATCACTCTGATTTAGTTTTCAGCTTATCAAAACAATCACGTTTAAGCCACTGAATTAGTTTAGTCCGGTTATACATACAACCTCGAACAGCACATGTTGTCCCTGAGCTCCGTAACGACATCTCTCATAAAGATTTGCGTCTTTAAATAGTAAAATAATTTTTCGAAAAACAGCTAGCCTCTTCGCTAACTAACACACAAAATACCATTGGAATGCTACTTCCGCCGCCTCACCGGAAGTTTCACCCACTTTATTCTTTACAGGAGCACCCCTCGGAAACTTGTGGATACTGCGCACGGATTTCTCTACTCAAAAGACCAAGATTCCTTGCGAATAGAACATGCGCAGAACACAAATCACTATGGGGATAGGCCAATACGCGTTTACATGACCAAAAATTCAGGTTAGAAAAGGGGTACCCCCTTTTTAAAATCCGGGATATGAGCATATTCAGGTTTTTGCCGGTGTTTACATGGCCGTTCGCGACCGGGTTATTGCTAATATCCCGGTTTTGAATGGGTTATTGGCTGCATGTAAACGTACCCAGATAGCAAACTGACATTGAATCAACGTAGAAACATGACATCGAAACAACGTTGATCTGACATTGTTTTGCTCATCGAATTAACGTTGAACCAACGTCAGACGCGTCATTCTTTCAAAACTAACGGAAAATCAACTTGAAATCAACACGTTGTTTCAACGTTATGAAAGCAAACCAATTTTCGATTTACATTTAGCTTTGAAGAATGCCGCGTCTGACTTTGGTTCAACGTTAATTCGATGAGCAAAATCAACGTTGTTTCAATGTCATGAGAGACGTCGTTTCCACGTTGATTCAATGTCAGTTTGCTGTCTGTGTTGTTACTTAGAAAACGGAACCTGACGTGTTGCAAAGAACCGTTAAAAAACTTTTCATTTTAACTTTTCATTTTTTCATTTTACTTTTCTGCATTTTAACTTCTTATTATACATAATCCTGACTTTGTGTTGGTTTGGAATTCCAGAAGAGCAGGAGTCGGAAGAGGGGCTGCAGTCTGTGGTGGGACGAAGTCATGTGTAAGTTTCCACATTTATGTTTTGCTGAAGAGCTACCACAAGATTATTTTGAGTCAGTGAAGCACAGTGGCTCAGTGGTTGGCGAAAAGGTCCCCGGTTTTATCCCCAGCTGAGCCCTGCCTTGCATGTTCTCCCCGTGTCGGAATGAGTTTCCTCCGGGTCCTACGGTTTCACTCATAGTCCAAAGATTCAAAGTTACCTGTGAATGTGTGTATGTCTGAGAGCCCTGCGATAGACTTGCCATCGGTTCAGGGTGCTTTCCCATGCCTCTGGCCTAAAAACTGGGATAGGCTCCAGCCCTATGACCCTAGAAGGTTATATAAAGATCATTAAATAAATATCTGCTTTTAGGAGCACACTAGCATATAGATTAGCATAGAAGCTAATAGACATGAAAAGCTACAGTTGTACAGTAGCATTTTTGCAACTTATTCTAAAGGAAAGCTGTGGGAGATTTGATTCTATCCCACTGTTGATGTATTCTGCCCCTGTATGTGTGAGCTAGGCAGTAGATTTTGTGCTGATGGTTTTATTTGGACAGCGGCCCGCCGTGTGCCCTCCCACTGCCACACATACTTAGCCTCAGTGTCTTGTTTGTCTCAGGCTGATGGTACAGAAAG